CCCCACCACACACAAAACACACAGAAAAAAGGAGACACGGGGGAAGGGAGGGCAGAAGAAAAAGGTTGTAGTAGCAAGCCTGTAAAAGAAAAGAAAGTTAATGGATTCTTACTGCCAGGGATCGTCACCGAGGAGGAGAACATCATTCTCTCGGTCTACAAATACAAGCTGCCAGCCTGATCTCTCAGGGTCCTCCAACAAGCCTTCTAGCCCAAACATGTGAGCAAGCTCACTTCGAAGTTCGTGATAGCTGCTAAACTTGGAGATATCGAGTGACCGTCCAAAGGACCCTGATTTATGAACCTGCCAGAGACATGCAGTATGAAACATCATAACACCGCAAAATATTTCCTCTTTAAAACTAGACAGCATGTTTGGTCATGCAATTCAGAGAACAAAAGGTGAACTGATGTAAGACAAGCTAATAAAGCTCACCTTCACAAAGGTTCTATTAGTTGGGTTTCCTTGATCCCCATTCTCGGAGGACTGCAAGAAACCTGATTCATCTACACAACTTGAAGTTGTCATGTCTGAGTTAATGGGATACTCGTTGCCCACAGTATTTGTGAAGGTAGAGGTAGCATAAGGAATAGATAAAGATCCATTATCACCACTACTATCCTTCATGTTGGACATACCATTCGGCAGTATGTTCAAAGAGTCGGTATTAAATCCATACAGTGCATTGTTTTGGCTATCTTCTACTCCTCTATAATCAGAAAAAGACTCTCTGCCAGGAAAAGGGGGCAACAGAGAGGAAAGATCAGAAACTTTAGTATTGTGTGATATCACATCCTCAGGCTGGGGCACAGCGAATGGAGTAACCCGAGAAGGGAGCTGAGATTCTAGAGCAATTCGCTTTGATGATGAGGACGAAGACACTAGAGGGTGAGCTTCATGCATGTTAAGGACAGCAGACGCTCCATCATGGGAAAATGAACTCAACAGACTTTGCATAGTAGAATTACTAGATGCATTGACATGGTTACCAAGTATATCAGAAAATGTTTGTGGAGAACCAGTTGAACTTAAGACTCGCAAATGAGAAAGCTGGGGCTGCGCAGCCGAAGTCATCTGAGAGAGACTGGACATGGCCTTGGTTTGCTGTTGATGTTGAAACTGCGAGGAGTTCACTTCTTGGTGTTGCTGAAGCTGTGGCTGCAGCAATTGCTGTTGATCATTATAATTCTGACGGCGCTGCAATTGTTGCTGAAGCATCTGTGCCTGAGATATTAACTGGTTTTCGGAGAAGCCGTGGAGCAGATTTTGCTGTGAATGAGAAGGCTGCAAAATTTGACTATGACTCAAAGATGCTGAACCGCCAGGTATACTTTGTTGGAACTGCATAAAGGATTGATTTGCAAGTTTCGATGGATCTAGTGCAGCCATTGTTTGCAGAATGTCAGGTTGCAAACCTAACATAGAAGCATCAATTCTTGGCTGCATAAACGGAGTAACACCATAGCCCTGGAAATTAAGCGACTGAATCCCTTGGTCTCCTATGTCACCACGCAGCCACGAGAGTGGAGAATTCATAGTCATATCACCATTGGGAAAACCTGAGTGAATGAGAGGTAAACAAACCACAGAAAGTTAGAACTCAACCAAATTTACCTTGTTTGCCCAGGGCAAAAAAAAAAAGCAAGAAGAACCCATACCAGGGAGAGAAGGTAGTCCAGATGGCCAAGGCCTTTTTAGCCTAAGAGAGAAAGGAGAAGGATACATAGGAAAAGTTGTCAGAGGTTCAATTTCCCACAGCGAAACTCTGGGCTGCCTCTCTCCTGCAGTTGATTCATCCCATCCAACCTGCATCAGGACCAGCGACAAAAGATCTTAATTTATACACTAAAGGCACCACCAAGCTCGTTATAATTTATAAATTTAAACAAAGATACAAGTAGCAGTTAATTGATCTATTACTTTTATTAATGAGCACCTGTTATAAAACTAACCTTCACAGACCGCCAATGTGAATTTGGCCAACGAACAGGATCTAAATCACTGATACCGGTAATTGTGCCCATATACCTGAATCAAAAGATATTTACATGATTAAAGTGTGCATGAGAGAGAGAGAGAGAGAGTTAGGGGAAATTGCTGAGGGTCAAAATCAATATTCCACACCAGCAACGAAAATTTGAAATACTGAATTGGTTGTAAGAGGGTTTGCATGTAAACATATTAACAGCGAAAGTATGGTATCTTTGTTCGTAGAAGAGGTGGCAGTAGCTCAAATATTTTAATCTCCTAACTTTCTTTTCTCTTCCTAAAAGAATTTTCCCTGCTTCCAAATCAGCTAAAACTTCACAAAGGCGCCTTAGCATAGAGTTACTTCAACAGCAAGCTCTAACATTTTTGTCTTTCAAATTACTTTACATTGCACGTGAAAGTCCAAGAAGATAAGACCTACCTACGGACACTCGATTCTTCTGTTTCAAACAGCATCCGGAACCTCATACCAACAGAAATCCGTGTATGATAAACTGCTTTAGCATACTTGGCAAGAGGTATGACAAACTCTGATGGACTTGCCCTGAAATTATGAAGCTAAAAGGTTAAACATGACTCAATTTTGTTAGCAGATGTAACAAAAGAAAAAGACTTTACCTTGGATTATAAAATATTGTAAAGCGGCTATTAGTTGCAGCTGCATGAGCCGCCGCAGCAAGGAGACCAATGTGCATGCTATCACTTGACAAAACTGAAGAAGGCATAACGGTTTGAGGACGATTAGCACGTCGAATCCCCAAAAGCAATTGATTATTTTCATTCCTGATAGAAGATGACAGTATTTTAGCAAAGATAAAACTGATATCAATGAACTGAGAGGGTGAAATGAGAGTGAATTCCTTAAAATGCAAATGATTATCCAACTACATCACTATCAACTGCCAATACATGATGCAGATTCAGAGCTACCTTATTGCGGAAGAGAAAATGATACAGGTTCACAGTTAAAAAGTCACAGACGTAAAAAGATTGAAATCAATCCTTAATTCGTGAAGATTCTCAGTTTGGCTTATTCAAAGTAGCAAATGACAAGCAACAAAACTTGGCCAAATATGATTCTGCACTTAAAATACATACTGCCATTTATCTGAAACTATATAAATCATTTGAAAGTTCAGGATGGTGGAGTGGAAACTTATGAAGAATTAATAAAAGGAACAGACAAAATCTTCTACCAGATAAAGATGACTGCATCACCCGCAACAAGTCTCTTTGCACTTACGAACACACTCCATCCTGTTGTCAATAGATGCCTCTTTGGTTGGCCTAAACATGAGCAACCAATTAGAGTGCTGGTAATGCTTGCACCCAAGTTTGATTTTATAATACTCCCTCCACCACAAAATTAAGAGATGCAAAATCTGAAACATGCAAAGTAGATTCTTCGGAAAGCAAGCAGCCCAGAGGAAAGCAGCAATCTTTTCTACTCTGTCTGTGTTTGTGTATAGATATTTTTTGGGATTGAAGTGAAAGGACAAGTCGGTAAAGATGATAATGATAAACAGCTCAGCTCAATGTTGTGACTTTATATAGTTCATATACTGCAGTAGACAAAAAACCCTAATCTCGAGCTTGAATTTTCTTTTCTTTCAGGTACATTTGGTTCATAGTACCAACTACAAAAACAGTACTCCCTTTAAGCTCTGACTGGACAGAAACTCACCACGAAAAATATGCCGGAATTTCCATTCATTTCCATGGAGATCTTTTGCAATCAACTCTTGACAGGGCGGCTGCTGAGAGTAATCCTGCAAGAGCAAGACACATTCGTCATGAGATCACTGAGCACTACAAGGATACTACAGAATCCAATGCTGATGAGACACAACAAAAGAAAAAGGAAAAGAGAACCACAATGCTGATGAGTTCTGTCGAAGGGACCTACAAGAGGGGGAAAAACTTTTTCTGCTGCACGTCGGGGGACAGAGAATCCACCGTGAGTACTGGTGTCACTTGCCGTCAAGGTTTTGCAGAAATAGTTGGTTGGTTGTTTACTCGGGATGCCAAGTTCTGCTGGTAGCAGGCACACATCCTTTTGCTCTTGCTACATAGAGTAAGTCCGTTACCACAATATAATTAGTAAAACTGATTTTAAAAAGGTAGGAAGTGACATACTGCACTTAGTGGCTGCAACGTCATTTGAGCATATACTTCATCGGTCTCAACATCTGCCTGTAATATAAAAATTCTTCAGAATAATACCTCCCGTGATAGAAACGCACATAGATAACACATCACAACTAACAAAACTAACTTACATGCATTGTCAGGTTGTGAAGCTGACAAATTAGCTGAGGTGGTAAACCAGGATAGTTAGGGATATGAGCATCTACTTCCTTGTTTGTCGAGGCAGCAACCTGTAAAATCTAAATTAGATTGAAGGCGTCTAAAACTCTCAAGTCAATCCTTCATTAAAGAAACTCAGGGAGCTACTTAAAGCTAAAATAGGAAGACTGTGCCTCAAGAAAAATCAGTTCACATAGAATTCAATGGCTCGTGGCACAAACAATAGCAGCATACTCTATTTAGCCACAAAAACTAGAGGTGCAAGCTTTAACAGAACATCACATGAAATTAAAGGGCAAGTTCCATATTTGGCCTGTCGGCCAAAAATAATTACTTCCGCTAGCCAAATATACAAAAAGTATGCACTAATTATGTATAAAATATGTATATTATACATTAATATCCTATAAAAATATACATTTTTTCGGCTATTATTTTGGGAGCGGCTATACAGTGTAGTTTTCCCGAAATTAATTAAATATGAACCATATCAAACACTGAAACTTCAATGAGCTACAGTGTGAAACATAATATACCTATAACTAACCTGTTCACTATGCCCTTGAGGAAAATACACAACTCTGCTTCCTACAGGCGGAAGCGAAACTAGTGGCCCGGCACACGCGTGCCACAACTCTGAATTCAAGCATTTCTTCTCCCCTGCTGCTGTAATTTAAAGCATAAAAATATGAACTTTACTAATTAATCACTACAAACAATGCTTCACTTCAAGTCCACCAAACAAGTAATAACAACAAACAAACAAACCTTCCTCTGGTTGAGGATTGAACCCAGCTGAAGATACCCTCATTACAGCAAATCAAACTAACTCCTATCAAGAACCTACTTTTTACTAGTTAAACCAAAAAACCCAAAAAGGGCAACTCTCAAAAAATATAAAGAACCCAAAAAATGAAAACTTTAGTCTTTTTAGTACAACCCCCACCCCCCACCCCAAGCAAAAACCAAGCAGCAAGAAA